AAAGGCTGGATTTGATAATCTCAGATTATTGATTAATCTAACTGATTATGTGATCAAGGGACATTCAATTTAACTGCAGTTTTAATTCTTTTTTCCTGCTGTTTACATGCTCAATTAATCTTCTTTCACTTTAATGATTACTTTTGCTCTGTCTTTTCCTTTATGAATTGAATAAAACAGCTCCATGGTCTTAACAAAAGATTTATCAAGTCCTACTTGGAGGCTTACATTGGATATAATATTTCAAACAGCTGACCATGCTGAGAAGAGCCAGTTCTAGCAGTGAGCTGAGAGTATTATTTGTTGCTAGAATTCTATGTTCTAAAATGTAGCTCCTACTGTTTGTTTAATCTGTTACATTCCAATTTTGTCTCCATCCTTTTATTTGACTGCTTTGTTCATGTTGCATATTTTTATGCTTTAGTATCACATCTGTTTTGTCATGCATATGGATAGACCACAAGCATAAACAGTTTAAGAGTATATATCCTTTTTTCTATAATTCTATTTAGTGTCCAGACCATTGGGATTCCAGTCCTAGTGGACAGTAGTTGTAAGAAAAATTCATATGCAAAGCCCTGTGTGCTAATACAGGTATTTCAACCACAGAATTTCTCTCTACAGGAATGTTTTCTTCCCTCTGCTATATCAAATCTATTCATGCAGACCACATAGAAAGGAGTAGAACTCAGTTTGGAGAATATATCAGCCACACTCCCCATAAGAGTGTAACTCATTCCAAATTTACATGCACCACTATTAGTAAAAGGTCACCATGAGTTATCAGTTCCCTTGTTACTAAATAAATATGACTTGTTTCATTCAGGACATTGTTTCCGTAGTGAATATTTGGGATCTATTTTGCTTCTGTCTCTCCATTTTTTTGGTATCTATTTAGCACCTACTGATGCCTTTTTCTCTGGTCCTAGAAATATGAGCCAGACACAGGGAGATCAAAAGGGGTTATCCTTTATATAAGGATCCTTAGGTACCCAATTCATCAGCTGGAAAATGCTGAAGATGCACACCCTGCATAATGCAAGAATCCCCAATTAGATGCACGCCTGGTGAAGTCATGCCCCTGTGCTCTAGTATCCTCTAAATCGTCCCCCTCAGATGAGGCCTAAGCTCTGTAAAAAATGTCTTGAAGAGTTGGTCTCAGTCTTGGTTTCTAAGGAGAGCCAAGATAGCATTGGGCTCTTGGAATGTGTTTTGTCCTTCTCCCTAGGAAAATACTCAAGTTAAGTTACAATAGTAGACTATGGAGCTACAAATATTTGTGTAAAGAATATAGAGAATATATAAGAGAAAAATAGCAAAAATCAATAAAGCATTATTTCTGCGATTTTTTAATAGACTAACAAGACTATATTGTCTAGTCTCTACTCTGTATTTAACCACAGCACCAGTTTACACAGCTGGCTATCCCACTAGTTATTGTGATTATACAGATGTCAATTATAACTACAGCTATTATGAACAATTCTTTTATCCAGGCCCAGTTTGGTAACCATGAGGTATGGGTGCTGAAGATATAGTCAAAATTTAAGGTGTTATTTCTGAAAGTTGCTTTATGTAAAATTTGAGTCTGCTTCCAAACGTCAGCCAAATCCTTCTTAATTCTTCCATTCTGTATGCAGTTCCCAGTCTGGATTCTCCAGAGGCACGTCCTTCAGGTCTGGTCTACTGGAATAGGCCTCTTCTATTATCTGTGAACAGTCATGCTCAGGCATGATGTAAATTAATGTAGATAACAAAACATTGCAGGATTTACAACAGATGTTGTTTTTAGAGTAACATCATCCCATTCCAGCAACACTGAGTGATACTTAAGCATTCTGCTAGGAGATAGGCAGTGTCCTCCCTTTTGTTCCAGTACAGTGATCACTGTGTGGGACACATATTTGAATTTGTGCTGCCCAAGGGTGACTTTGTGGGCTTCTTGTATCAGGATGACAGTAGCTGCCACACCTTTCAAACACCCAGGCCCCTCCTGACTAACCTTGTCTAGCTGTTTTGAAAAGTAGGCCACAGCCTTTTGTTGATCTCCAAGGTGTTGCACCAGTATCCTCAGAGCAATATTCAGTCACTCATGTGTGAAGAATTCAAAAAGGCTTACTTAATTCTGGCAGCCCCAGAGCTGGAGCTGACATCAAGGAACGTTTCAGCTACTTAAATGCAGCCCTTGTGTTCTCTGTCCACATGATGGTTCCCTTTTCAGCTGCCTTAAGGGCTCCATTCAGAGGTTTTACCAGTAGTACATAATTTGGTATCAATAAGCAGAACCAATCTACCATTACCAGGAAGGCTTGCATCTCTCTCATAGTGTGGAGCTCTGGAAGTGTCTTCTTTTTATTCTCTGCTGAGTTGTTGATGTCCATGGAATATTTCTAGCCCCAAGTAGACTACTGTTTCCCTGGCAACCTGTGCCTTCTCTTGCAAGACTCTATACTCACTTAGTTCCAGAAAGTTCAAAAGACTTACACTGAGTTGGATGCAGTCACCTTGTGTTCTAGCTGCAATTCAGATATCATCAACATATTAAAGAATATTTCTCCTGGTTCCTGTCTTCTCCAGTCCTCCAGTTCCTTTGCGAGCTGGTTTCCAAATATTGTTGGGCTGTTTTTGAAACCCTGGGGTAGAACCATCTAAGTGAGCTGGGTTTTCCTCCCTGTCTCAGGATTATCTCACTCAAAAGCAAAGAGTTCTTGGCTATTCTTATGCACAGGAATACAGGGAAAGGCATCCTTGAGATCTAAACAGTGAACCACCCTTAAACCATCTGTCAGCATGGTCAAAAGAATGTAGGGGTTTGCTACAACTGGGTATATATCTTCTGTTATTTTGTTAATTTCTCTTAAATCCTGCACTAATCAATAACTCTTACCATCAGCCTTCTTTACTGGAAGAATGGACGTGTTGTATCTGGATTCATATTCCACTAATAACCCAAATTTAATGAACTTCTTAGTTATAGATTCTAATCCCCTATGGCCTTCTAACTTCAAAAGGTGCTGTTTCTGCCTTGCCATTGTAGACCCTAATTTGAGTGTAGTACAGGCTCAGCTCTTTTGCATGTCCCAGGAAAATCATTGGCCCACACTATTAGAATGACAGCATCTTCAACTTCTTTGAAGATGAAGATGGGAATTTTGGGATTTGGGAATTTTGCCATAATTCTCCTGTAAGAAAATAGCTGCTTTGACAAATTTAGTTTTAGGAATTATAACTTTCACTCCCACCTTCTTTGGAAAATGTGATTTCTGCTTCTAATTTCTACAGTAAATCCCTACCTATTAATGGCTTTGAGGTGTTTGGCTTATAGAGGAATTGGTAAGCCACCCAGTTTCCTAACTTAAATTTTAAAGGTCAGAAGAAGGGTCTTGTTTCACTGACCCTGTGGCACAAATCACATTTAAAGTATCTTCACTCAGTTTCCCTTTTAAAGTATTTAACACAGAATATGTTCCCTTATATTTACCAAAATTCAACATCCTCTTTCCCCAGCTTAACTATAACCAAAGATTGTGCTGGGCAGGATAGTTCCTTCAGTCCGCATCAGTTCCCATTCACAGCTAATTCAGGTACTGGGGGTACCCTTTGTCTAGAGGAGGAGTACTCCTTTTCAACACATTAGATGACTTTCCCTGATCACCCCTTCTATTCTGCTGGCATCTATTCCTGTCTGTTGAATCTCTATTTTGATGTATCTTTCAGGCTGTATTCAACAATTTACCTATGTCATGCATCTCACCCATCTTTGACAGCTTATTCTTTATGCCATCTGCAGATTGGCCTATAAACAAATAAGCCAGGTGGGTTTGCTCTGCAAGTGCTTTGAGGTCCAGATTTGTGTGTTTTCATGCAGCCTCTTTAAGCCTGCTCAAGAAGTCTGTAGGGGGTTTATTTCTGGTTTGGGTTTTTTTGTTGTTTTGTTTTGTTTTTGTTTGTTTGTTTGTTTTTTGTGCCTTCATATAATTTCGACGAAGTCACTGCTTTAGGAATGGCATATTTTAGGCCAAGTACTATCCAATTCTGATAACATTTTAACTTTGCCATTTGTTCTGCCACATAAGGGTCCCACCCTTGGTCAGTTAAAGGAAAATATATTGTTAACTGGCCGTTGAAGATTTCCAGCTGTAATTAGAATCTCTGTAGCAGATATAACAGCCTTATCAACCATCTCTTTTTCTGTTTCGTCTAATAATGTGTCTAGCATTACATTCAGATCACTCCAATCTGGGTTTTGTGTCTTAATAGCCCTATTAACAAGATTAGCTACCTTCTCTGGATTGTCTCTTTATCGTCCAACTGAGGCTTTCCACTGTTGCAGTTCTACCAGAGAAAACAGTGTTTTTATGAAAATCACCATTTGATTCCCAACAGCTCAGCCTAAAGGTGCTTGTATGGCAGACTCTTCCCTTTCTGACTCCTCCTTTTTAGATCTGATATGTTTTGCTACTGGGTCGGGTGTTTCCATGGCCTCTTGGGCTGCTTTCCCCCTTTTCCTTCTCACCAGAGTGGCTGCAGCAGCTTTGCCCTCGGTTTCATTTTCCGAGGAGCTAGCTGTCTGTCTGGGAAGCACCGCGCTCACTTCCAACGCAGGATGTTCCGCGGGTTGTCACCGGGGCTGAGGGCCGGCCGGGGCCTGGTCCCGCGGCGCTGCCGCTCTCCGGCCGGGCCTTGGCCCGTCACCGCCCCGTCGGGCCGCTCGGGGGCTGTGGCGGCCCTGCCGCTGTCTCTGCTGCTGTCACCAGAGCCGCGGCGGGCACAGACGGCGGTGGCAGCTCTCCTGCCCATCCCACCAGTGTAGGGGACAATGGGGGTGGCAAGGGTAGATACTGCTCCCCCCTCCCACTGCAGAGCGGAGCCGTCAGATCCACATCAGTCATGGCGAGCTTACCAACACGGACCGGGCTAGCAAGAGGCTCCTCCTTCTTATCCTTTGTCTTTACTCTTTAAACCATTGCAAAACAGCCTTCTCCAGGTTCGTATGCATCTTCTCTGAGACCGAAGTTTTGATAATTCTGTTATTAATTCACTTTCTAGGCTGACAAAGTGAGGCCACGCCTCTCCTCCTTCTAATTTTTGGATCAGCCAGATCTCTGTACAGAGTCGAAGTAACTATTTCGTGATAACAGGCATTCCCCTGCTTGCCAGGAAATGCCAATGCTTTAATATAAAATCTAACACGGAGTCATAGGCTATGTGCTTGCCTTTGTTGGAAGACACACATCCCATGTTATTACTTATAAAAAGAAAAAAAATACGCTGAGAAAAGAGCTACTAGCTGCAGACTCTGACCCGGGATTTGAACACACACTTTCCACTCCCAAAGCCAGTTACTAAGCTTTGTGCAATCCTTTTGGGAATTCAGTATAACCACCTTCATAAATAAGAGGAGCTCAAATTTACAGGAAACCATTTTTGGTTCCACTGCTGGAAGTAGAATCTAGTATCTAGCTGCTTGACTGGTCAGGGAATTTTTTAGATATTCCAGCTTAATGTGTCTGGTCGTGGGCTATTTATTCACCATGTAGGGGGCACCTGAATTCAACAGACTCTGTGCTCCAGGTCCCTGTCTTCTTTAGAATCCTTTTCCAAGGTATTTTATCTCACAGCTTTTAATTTGTATTTGTTTTCTTGGAACCTAGACAGTTACTTTGATCAATAGAATTAGCTACCCAATATTAGCTACTCAATATTAGCTACCCAATATGGTCTAAAACCCCAAATCAACATCTTTCTGCTGGTCAGGAAAATGTGTGAACACAGTTGAGTGCACTGACTTTGTTCAGTGCTTGCATTCCTATTTTGGTAGTACAGAAAGGCATTTTCTCTGTACAGTAAATTACAGTAGCATCATCAATATGGATAATAACTTTGATCAATTTGAGTAAAAAAAAGAATCTCTTATTACCAGACATGAGAAAAAAATAAAAGTTTAACAGTTATTATTACCTCCCTGAAAAAAATTCATCATCCTCCATATTGAAGCTACTCATTTTCCACAAAATTGATTGCTAGTCTGTCAATTTGTTTCATTAACTTTAAAGCTAAAGTTAGAAAGAAAACCTACCTGCAAAGAAAGACTGAAATATGATGGAAGATTTTTAAGGAAATATGGTTCCAAACAAGTATGCCTTCTTTCGGAGTTTTTGAAACAAGTCAGAGGAGAACATTTGGTCTTGGGTCAGACAGCATCAGTGTAGTCTTCACAATGATGTCATGTTGTGACAGTGGAATGATTTCATGTTGCTATCTACCTACTTGTGACAAGAGCCATTGCATTCAAACCACTTTTCAGGTGCTTTGATTCTTTCCTGCCTTACTGCTCTTTCCCAATTTTCTCAGGATTGCATACTTGCACATCTCTACATGCATCTTCCCAGTTCTAGCTTTCTCTCACTCTTTTGTTTTTTTCTTTTTTTTTTTTCAATTAATGAAACCATCGCTTGAGAAAATAATATAGATTCTATTTACTACTCAGTGCAGTATATTCTCTTGTACTTTTTGGGGTAACATGATCTTTTACAACCGTGATGGCAATTGCAGGTAACTCATTGTCCAAAAAGATTTTATATAACAAATCAGCCTGCTACTGCATTAATTTGTATATGTTTCATTCACTCTATTTCTAAATTTGCTTTGCTCCTCTGACCTGGCTAGTAATAGAGTGGGCAGAATTGACTTTCGCTACCAATTGCTTTATACTGTCCCTGGTGATGCTGTTCCAGCAGATATCCATTTGCCTCTGTTATACAGATTATAAGTTATCTTTAAAGATATATGGCAGTTCTGGCTTAGAGGTGGTATTCCCCCCTTTAGTATTCCCATTAAAAAAAAGAAAAACTTGTGCTTCTCCCTTTTCCTTTCATCCAACTGGAGGCATAAAAGGCAAAGATCATGGGTTAAGAACAAATTACAGCAGTGAGATAAGAGAACAAACAGTCACTGCAACGATATTAATAATAGAAGTGTACAAACCAGAGTGATTCACATGCAAAAATGCTCACTGCAGACCCCATGACAATTAACACAAGGTGGCTTCTGCTACATTTTCTCAACTGGAAGAAACCCCATCTTGCCAGAAGAGAGTCCCTTTACCCTGCCCTGTCAATGATATCAGGTCATAGAGAATAACCTTTTTGTCCTAGCCATGCTCCTCCTAGCTACCACAAAATTTAATCCTGTCTTGGCCAGAACCAGAACAATGACCAATTAGAAACTATATTTTTGAAGCTGTTCTTACTTTTCAGAAACTTCAAAGACTGAGAATCCTGTGCGACTTACATTTTCCCAAATACAGGCACTGGTGTTGCCTCACACAACTTGACGTGGGAGGAGGAAGGGGAGCTGGGGATGAAGGAGTGAAGTTGAAGCTGGGAAGAAAAGGGGTAGGTAAGTGTCTTTGAGTTTTACCACCAAGAAAATTAATCTTTCTCAAGATGAGTCTCTTTTACCTATGAAAATAATCAGTAAACTGTAACTCTGTCTTTATCTCAGCCTATGAGCTTTTCTATCTTATTTTATCTTCCCTCGTTGTGTGTAAGAGTAGTGAAAGAACACCTGGGTAGGGTGGGTGTCCAGCAGTTAGCCATGGTCAATACAACATGTACAGCTTGGGTGCCAAGTGGACTAAAACTTGAGACTTTGTTAGACTTTTAATGTGATAGCGTCAAATGAGCTGGCACTATATCCAACAACTAAATAATTTAAATAATGACTAAAAATTCCAGCATTGCCATGTCATTAAACTTTAAACTGCATCAGAAACAATGTCAGTATAGTTTATATCTGCAGTGTTGTGCTGGTTCTCCTAGCAAGCTGGAGATCTAAATTTGCTACATATTGGTGCTCAATAATGTAAAGAAACTGATCTATTAATAACATTGCATAAAATACACCGAAAGGTTTTTCATACAGTGGATTTATATTCAGCAGTTAACACATGGTGGAGAACACACAAAAATGCCATTCCTAGAATTACAGAATCATAAAATGGTTTGAATTGGAAGGGGTGGATATGGCTGCCTGCTGTGTGCTGCAAGTGCGCATTGCTGGGTCATGTCCAGCTCCTCATTCACCAGCACCCCCAAGTCCTTCATGGCAGGGCTAGCCTTGATCCATTCTCTGCCCAGCTTCTATTTGTACTAGGGATTGCACTGGACTGGATTCCTCTTTGATATTTTTCTCTGCCGGTACAAAGATTTATGTATGACTTCTCTAGAGAAAACTGAAACTGGGTGTCCAAGCTGAATAAGCTGAAAGCAGGGAGAAAAGGCCATGAAATGACATTGAGCAGAACAGGGGGAAAAATGAGTGAGAAAAGAACAATCTGCTTCCAGATTGTGATATTATTGGCAGTGAAATCCAAGGGAAAAAAAAAAACCTTACTTGTTTAGGCAATTCTTAAGGACCATCAAATAAATACCAGCTTAAAACAAGGACACTTTATTCTATTTACTCCTACTCCTATATTTCTATACTCCTAGTCTTCTATATCTATACTCTCACTTCTTCATTCTATGTCTCCTCCTACCTCCACGTGAACTGAATGTGATGCTGGATTTTGTCCTTTAACACTTTTCAAACAATGACCCTAAGATTGGCTGGGTGCCAGAGTACTTTTTTTCTGAGTTGGACAAATGTTTTGGTAATTTAATATATCACTACTGTGAAAATGGGTTTGTCCTTGGCTACAATTTTGAAAAAAATATTACTTTTCTGGGAAAATTGGATGTTTTTCATGTTGTTTTCTAAATGCTATCAACCATATATACATTTTGGTTAATTTCTAAATTCCCAGTCTTCCAATTTTCTATATGACTATCATCTTGAGAAAGTTCAAGCAGTAGTGCATAACCTTTAGTGAATCAATTGAGTTTTCTTACTGTAATAGACAAAGTCTCCTTATCTAGTTTTTGTTCAGTTTTTAGTTTGGATTCTATAGAATAATGCCAGCTCTTACTTCTGAAAAACTTCAGTCCTTCAAGGCTTTAAAACAATAATATTAAAATTTTGCTATAGTTTTTGTACTTCATCCCAACTGCCTCATCTTGCCAAAACAGTGTTATTTCAGGCTCTTTTAATAGTTAAGACATGTTAGATGAATATTGTATGACCTCTAGAACAGCATCCAGCACAGTATTAAAATCCTCTGTAAATAAAAAGAAGGTAAATCTTCCCTGGAAGAGAGCTAATAACTAGAAAATTTGTTATTATATGTATTATGTGAAGAAAAGTTATTCCATATTAAAAAGCATTTTTGTTGTCATTTTGTCTTTTTCTTCTTTCTGAAAAACCACTGCCACTGAACTCAAACAAATGGCTTTTCATAAAGTATAGGCCAAAGATGAAGACTACCAAAGAAGAGGTATTTCTTTCAACAAAATAGGTGTTCATGGGAGCTTATTATTTTTGACTGAGGAAGCATAGGAAAATTTGGCACCAAAAAATTATTTTACTCAGACTGCAGAATACACTAAGACATGATTAGATGCTTTTATAATGCTTAACTCAAACTTAAAGCTCAAAAGGGAGTTCTAGGAATTGTCATTGATTATCAGCCAATTGTGCTTTAGCTGCTGAAAATGCCATTGAATGCTGACAGTCACCAAAAGGGTGCTGAAAATAGGTCAGAATGCATCCTATTTGTTCTAAATCTAAATGAGCCTGTGGGCTGCAGGTACAATTTCCATTGCAGTTTTTTCCATGGCAAGAAGTATCTTGTGGACTTAGGGAAAACTCAGAGACCGGGTGACTGAAACAGTCATGTGGTGGAGCAGCTGCTTTGCAAGAAGAAATCAGAAGGACCAGCTCAATTTAATGATCTTTTAGTTCTCTTTTTGATGGAATGTTGTGTCTAGAAGTCTAAAATGGTCAATGGATTACCCTGACAGGAAATCTCAGAAAGTATGAAAAAAATTCTGAGTCAGAACAAGGTCATTTAATGTTGCACGGGCATGTGCTGTTAGCAGAAAATAAGAATTCAATATTGTCCTGGTTCTGGCCAAGACAGGGTTAATTTTTGCAAATCATAAAATGGTTTCGGTTGGAAGGGGTGGGCATGGCTGCTTGCTCTGGGTGCAAGTGTGCATTGCTGGGTCATGTCCAGCTCCTCATTCACCAGCACCCCCAAGTCCTTCATGCCAGGAGGAAGCATGGCTAGGGCATGAAAATTATATTGTATCACCTCACATAATTTTTTCAGATGGAAGGGAAGGGGCCCTTCTGTTTTGGGTGGCTTGGTGGTAGTGGGGTATTGTTGTGTGGTGAACAATCATGTTTGAATGGTTTGTCTCTCATACACTATTATTAATATTGTTGCTGTTATTGTTTGTTTTCCTGTTTCATTTGCTATTTCCAGTAAATGGCACTTATCTCAGCCAGTGATCTTTACCCTTTGAACCTCCAATTCTCTCCAGCAACCCACACAGGGAGGTGGAGGAGAAGGGTAGTGAGAGAGCAGTGCATGGTTTTGACTGCTTCAGTGGGAACACTAAATAGGGGAATACCATTCCTAAACCATGACAAATATATATTGAGTAAAATAATTTTGAAAGTAATTAAACTAGTAATGATGGAATGGTGAACAGGAGAACTAAAAGTATTATTGTAATTATGCACTAAATAGTTAATTAATTAATTCAATTTCCTGACTTGGTCCAATCGTACCCAGCATAGCTCTGGTAACTCCAGGTGTGGCAATGGAAGTCATATTAGAACATTTTCTGCCTGTGCTGATAGTTGCCTCTGGTTGGTCTTCTTCTGGTCAAAGGCCACAGGCATTCAGAGGGGATACCTGGCTGTGCAGCAGCAGTGCCAATTACAGTAGCTCTCTGGGTGGCTTGCTTCTTTAAAGTGCTTGGGAGATGTTTTACTTCAAAAACTTGGTGTTCTTCAGGCTTTAGAATCCCCTTGCAACATAATCTTATTTGTTAATGTAACAAACCTTGAATGAGGACAGATAATATTCCTCCTTTAAAATTCTATTTGAAAGTATATATTTTTATATATACCTATTTTATTCTATGTGATTGAGTATGTTGTTACATACATTTAACCAGCAGATAAAAAATATATTCCTTTATATAAGTCATTGGTATATCTATCTCTTGATAGAGCTGTTGACCACTACCCTCTGGATGTGACCATCCAACCACTTATCCTTTTAACACAGTCACCAAACACAGTCATCTCTCTTCCATTTAGAGAGAAGGATGTTGGCAAGACTGTGTCAAAAGCTTAACAGAAGTCTGGATAAATGGCATCTGTAGCCTTTCCCCTGTCCACTGATGTAATCACTCCATCATATACCACTAGCTTGGTCAGGAAGACTTGTCTTTGATGATGAAGTCATGCTGGGTGTCTCAAGTCATCTCCCTGTTCTCCCTGTGCCTTAGTGCAGCTTCCCGGAGGATCTGTTCCAGGATCTTCCGAGGCACAGAGGAGGGGCTGACAGAGTGATAGTTACCAGGGTTCTTGTTTCTGCCCTTTATAAAGATGGGTACAATGTTTCCCCTTTTCCAGTTCCCTGGGACCTCACATGATGGTCATGACTTTTCAAACAGCATGGAGAATGACTTGGCAACTACATCAGTGAAATTGCTCAGAACTCTGGAATGTATCTCATCAGGTTCCATGGATTTATATACATTCAGGTTCCTCAGAGGGTCACAAACCTGATCTTTATTTACAGAGTGGGAGGGACTTTGCTCCCTCAGTCCTTATCCTGCTGTACATCCACTTGAGAGAGGTGAGAAAAGACGTTGCCATTGAGAACTGAAAGAAAAATACTGTTAATTACTTCAGTCTTCTCCTCATCCCTTGATACTAGTTTTCCAGCATTGTTTATCAGGTTCTCTGGCCTTTGTGTTTTACTTAATATATCTGTAGGAGACCTCTTGTTATTCGTTTCATCCCTTGATAGGTTCAGTTCCAGCTTTGCCTTGGCCTTCCTCACTCCATCCCTACACAACTGAATTTTATCTCTATATGCTTCCAAGGTCACCTATTCTTGTTTCTACTGTCTGCATTTCCTTTACTTTGACCAGCAGTTTCCTGCTCAACCATGCCAGTCTCCTGCCTTCCTTGCATAATTTTTTACTCCTGGGGATTGATAGTTTTTGTGCTCTATGGATTAATTCCTTAATGATTTGACAGCTCTATTCCACATCTTTGTCCCTGAGGGCAGCCTTTTAGGGTGGGATGGTCACATCCAAAGGGTAGTGCTCAATGGCTCAGAGTCCCATCGTTATTTAAGATCTTCATTAATGACATAGACCAAAGGGATTGAGTGTTTCCTCAGCAAATTTGCTGATGACACCAAGGTGAGTGGTGCTGTTGCTACATCTGAAGATGCCATCCAGAAGGACCTGGACAAGCTTGAGAATTGGACC